CATTTCCTTTGTCACCTTTTTACTTAACAATGATAATCTTCCCACTTCTCTTTTCCAAAATCCACTTTTCAAAAAGTCGTTTCATGGGTCATGCACTAACGAGGAGATCTCATCTAACTATGCATGATCACTAAATAAATAAAAGAAACAATAGCATGAATGTACACACATGATGATGATAGGTGTATCAAAATTTTCAAAAGTGTGTAGTGGAATACATGCTCCCCATTTGCTTATGTAGCACCATACATTTGACCCTATGCTCTCTACTAATGATCAAATGATTGAATTCTCAAAAAACACACCCTGAAATTTCGATTTTAACATCACACCACAACATAACATAACCTTTTGATGACCTCGATTGTCAACAGACCAGATAACGCGCATTTTATTACGAGAATATAACAAAAGTTACTTCAAATTGTGAGTACTTTTATAGCAAACACGACACACCTAGTGGGTCTCGGTTGAATTTAACGCTCGTGTAATGTCCTTAATGGTATTTGAGATGGCGTAGAGCAGAAGGACCATCAACAGTAGATGCTTGCAGGAGGCCGTGAAGGAGGTAGGTTGAAGTCAGAAGGGCTACAGCCTCCCTTAAATTTAAAATTACATGTAAAATTCATAACAAATTTAGTAACTAGAGTAGTAGGTGATGGTTTAGCCTCCCCGCCCCCAATTATCACGATTCAAATAAGCTTCACTCATTCAGATATCTGACTCCATCACTGGCTAGAGGTAGGGCGCTCGACTTGAAAAAAGCTCGTTCGAGACTCGACTCGTTTATTAACGAGCCGAGCATGAGCTAAGCCTTGTTCAGCTCGTGAGATAGCTCGACTCGGTGGCTTGTTGAGCTAAACTTGTGAGCTGGCTCGTTTAGAGCTCATGAGATGTCTCACATGCATTGTAGCTATCGAGCCAACTTGATTACCGACTTATGGGCGCATCGATCTATATCTTTGAGTTTAATTCATATGATTGTTAAATTATATATCTCACCCTATATGAAGTTTAACACACTGAGTATGTGAGCAAATATATATTATTTTTTATTTGAAAAAGAGATTTTATATCACATATTGCTCCCATACTGTTAGATAACATGATTTGGTCTAGTTAAAATTTATTAACTACATAATATGATACCAACAAAGTAAATTATGAGATTAGTTAATATTGAGCATTTGACTATTAATAATTTTTTCATCATGACATCAATCACATGTATCATACCTGATATTCAAAATAAAATATCAAATACGACTCAATATTTTAGCTCGAGCTCGACTCGACTCAGCTCGTTAATAAATGGCTCGAACTCGAGCTCAACTCATTTATTAATGAGCCAAGCTCAACCTGGAGTAAAACTAGGCTCGGCTCGCCTCATTTGGAGCCCTAAATAGAGGGGAACTCTATATCGATAAAAAAAATGACATGGAATCAGCTACAAACTCATACATATCATAAGATAGACGATTCTTAATCGTATAGTTAAAACGGCAATCCAGGAAGAATCAATTGCAGACTTATTAATAATCGAGAACAACTTCCTTTCGTAATACCTCCCCATGGGTTTACTCACCCCATATATAGAGGTAGCTATATATATACATGGAGTCACGTTCTTTCATAGCTTTACTCATTCATTATTATTTCGTTATTGATGTGTGTGTGGGTTTTTGTCCTGTAACGTAACACTTGCTGGTGCATGTGAAATGTTGGCGAGACTTTGATCGCTCGATCGAGACAGAGACTGATGGGAAGAGGCCCGGCGTGGCTCATAGTATTGCATGTCGACAAAGCTAGCTGACGGAAAGGGGCAGGGGCACGAGACTTAACAAAGCTTTCATTTTGGAGGAATTTGGCCATCGTTTTCAATTGGGAGATGCGTTTGGTAATATATATAAACGACAACAAAGTGCAGGCCGCAGATGAGCTTTAGCTACTAGCTAGGGTTTTTTCTTCTTCGTTTTGTGGTATCTCATGGACCATAAGTTTATGTGGCATGGAGACACCCTAATGTGAGTGAGCATCATCATGATTCATGAACTCGATCGGGTTCGTGATGAGTTCGGTTTAAGCTGGTAGGGATGCTACGTACGAATCGATTTTTCCTCCATTGTTGTAGAAGATAGGTTGCTATAGGTAGTGGTTAATGCACGGTAAGTACGAACTATGCACTACTCAATCAATCGAGGAGTTCTGCACAACTTCTCCAATTTGGCTACTGCATGTGCTGATACGACTGGGCGCGTATGCATACATACACATGCAAGCTGATGTACGTTGTCTGATTGCCAGCTTTCATAAGCATTTTTTCAACGATTTTAGACCAACACGAGCACATCAAGTGTTATTTATAAAAACACTATTAGCGACATCGATCTAATAACTGGAAATTGCAACCTGACGATATCAACTCCTATTCTTTACGATACGAAGTACGAACTCCACAAACTTTTTTTCAAGATAGGTGGCTAGTGGTTGATGGTACGAACTACAAACTCTCCAATCTCCATTTTAGGCTAGTGGTTGATGACACGAACTACAAACATCCCTAAACACTTTCTATATATCTCTTATCTCACATCCATTTTAGTGTAATTGTTAGTTATAGTTTCCACCTACTCAGCTATAGTGAAGTGATGTAACAAACTGTTCAAAGACCAAATATAATGTGACAATAGTTCCTCTCTAACACATGATCTCCACCGATTCTATCTCATTCCCATGTGCCTGTTTCTAGTCATATACAATGAATGGCCTCTGGGCCTGCCTGACTGAGTGACCTACCTGAACTTTTGTCTGTTCAATTCCAACAACATATAATAAATTGCCGATGTATGCCTTTATTAGCTCAATTATTTGGTTAATTACATACATGTCAATCTTAATCACCATGATTAATGCTTCAATTATGCTCTGCAACTATGTTCCACAGCTCTTAAACTACTGTACTTTTTTTTTTTTTTTGCTTTACCTTAGAGCTTAAAAAATGAAATCAATTGTAATTATTAATCTAACTCCTGACGCGTTTTGGTCACTTTGTTGTTGCGATCGATCTTCCTTTTTTCTTCTTCTTTACCATCATCATCCCATGAAAAGGTACCCGACAATCATAATTTCATCAATGTTGTTTTTCTTTTATGATAATTGTATTGACGACATTGCCATGACAAACAGTTTTAAGAGTTTCATCAGTCTCTGGCTCTAGCTCCATTGAACACAATTGTGATCCTCCACGGTACATTTGTGCCGGGCCGGTCAATGGGTGTGCCGGGGAGGCACTCCGGCAAATGGCAAAGGACTCTATCGTAGGGTTTTTAGTTAATTCAGTCCTATATTACATGATGAACGTGTATGATTAATTGATTATGGTTATAATGATGTGTTTAAATATGTTAGTTAATACTATATATGTGCGAGTCATTGGTTAATATTCTCATGTAAATATAAACGAAGTATCTAATCACTATTTTATTTCTTGATATGCCGGAGGGAAAAGAACATAATATGACTTCTTTAAATTCACCATATTATCAAGATTCGATGCTTTACATTAGGACTAATGTATGATACTTATATGACTTTGGAACTAGATAAAAACTTAGAGGGAAGCAAGTTGAAATGTGGAGAGTAATAGTAGTAATATTAGAAGCATATTTACACAAACAACGACAACAAGGATGAAAACAATTAGGGTTCACATGAAAGACTATTCTCCACTCTCACCGTCCATATCATCATTGTCCCACCTCCAAAACACCTACAAACACCACTACTTCCATTGTCCCCAATTTTCCTTGTCCTTCATCATTTCTATTTACTATATGTCACTAGGTGCCAAAAGATTTCACCCTATCAAAATAGAATTATAAGAAACTTGGATCAAATTTGGATGTGGATTTTAATTTGATTCATTTAAATTGAATTCGTTGAAATTGATGCTTTGGTTTGACTTGATTAGATTGAAGATATGTAGTTTGTGAATTCGACTTACATTACTGTTGATTATATTTTCGTAATAGTATGAGAGAGCTCCATGATATATAATTAAGAGATACGGAGAAGATTTTTTTATCGCACTCGTAGAGCATTATTCCAAGCGAAATCAACATATTTTGTTTAATACAACGATCTACATAGTCTAGGGTATAAGATCACTCTTCCTTCTTAAACTGATCCATCAAAAAGTTATGATTTACTATCTTAAATTTGAACCACACCACAAGGTATAAGGATATTATGCTCCTTGATTGAGTTAACCAACCAACACTAATGCCCTAACTAACAAAGTTTGAAACAATAATTTTGCTCACCTTCCATGCAAAAGCCAAAACTTAATTTTCACTCCTACATTTTCTTCTCCCTGTCAAAATAACTACCACATCAGAGAAAGGTAACCAAACCAACTAACACAAAATTACAAAACTGAAGGAAACCAATAAATGAACAAATTCACTTTCTTCTTCCCTCTCTCTATCTATCCCCCACGCGCAAACCACATCACTCGCTCTGCTCTCCTTCCTCACAGTGCTGGACAGTTCAGAGTTGAGAGTACTACTAGTCCTCCAAATTCGCCATTTGGGTTTACTGAATCCCATCTCAAATGTACCCAAAAGCAGCCATCTTTTAAAAGCTCTGGGTGTGCTTTCCTTTTTTCCTCCAATGGCTTCCGGGTGAATGGATCTTCCCCTTTCTTCTCGACCGAAAGCAAAAAGGAAATGTAATGAAATTTGTTTGTTTGCTTGTACCATTATTCCTTGCTTCCATTCTTGGGTCGATGCATCTTCTTACTTACGCACCATTTTCCCATATTCCAGTGATTTTCTCCACAGATTCGCTTGCTCTCTACTTGGTCAGCCCAAGTCGCTAGCCACTTCCACTCATCACTCGGATCCGCTTCTCTTTCTCTGGTAATTTCCATTTCCTGCTTGTCCTTTTGGGTGTTGGGTAGTTGCTTGATTGGGCGTTTGGGAGCTGCTTAGAGCAAATGGGTTTGATTATTAATGGTGTTTGCTCTCGAATAGGAAGTTCATTTATTTCAGTTTGCAATCTAGTGTGGCCAAACTGGGAATGGGAGGAAGGTGGGGGAAGATTTACTCCTTACTTTCTTGATTAGCTTTCACCACTTCCCTGCTTCAGCTGTAGTTCTTGCAGTTAGATTGAGATTTGTGCTTTTTCTTTAGGTGAAAGCTTCAGTTTTGTCCTTTATTGTCTTTCCAACTTGGGTTGAGTGCAAATCAAGCCTTGGAAATGGCTGATGTGTTATGTAAGTTTGATCAAGTGGGAGTTAATTAGTTATTTGGTGAGATGAAAATGGTCAATCAGTTTGATTTTCCACTATTTCTTTGAATTAAGTATAGCTACTGGTGTAGTGAGTTCGAGTTGCCTGAACATTTTGCTTGCTTGAGAATGAGGGAGTTTTGCGAATGGATGGTGCAGATTTATCTCCCTTTGGAAAAATGAGGATGGTGGAGCTTTTGTGTACACTACTAGTTGTTCTACTATCACTCTTGATAAATGGGGAAGCTGAGGTTTACATGGTAATGATGGAGGATGAGCCAGTCATAAGCTATAGAGGAGGCATTCCTGGGTTTGAGGCAACTGCTGTGGAATCCGATGAAAAGATCGACACGACTAGGTACTATGCCCACCTTGGTACAAGTTCATTGTAGAATTGATGATGATTGTTGTGGTGATTATTCTGATTTCCATTTCTGTGAATTGGACCTTGTTTTTTGCAGTGAGGTGGTTGCATCATATGCGAAGCACCTCGAGGAGAAGCATGATATGCTTCTCGATATGCTGTTTGATAGTGAAACATATCAGAAACTTTATAGCTATCGACATCTTATCAATGGCTTCTCGGTTCATATGCCACCAGAACAGGTGATTATAACTTCATGTTGTTATTTCCTTTCTTCTTGTTTAGTTTTCTTCCCTTTCCCTTACCCTACCACAATTCATTAGTAGGTAGAAACCTTAAGGCGTGCCCCTGGCGTGATATCTGTGGAGAGAGATTGGAAAGTTCATAGACTCACAACACACACCCCACAGTTTTTGGGCCTTCCTACTGGAGTTTGGCCAACCGGGGGTGGCTTTGACAGAGCTGGGGAAGACATTGTGATTGGCTTTGTGGACTCCGGCATTTATCCTCATCACCCGAGCTTTTCAACTCACCATGCTGATCCATATAGACCACTCCCAAAGTACAAGGGGAAATGTGAGATTGATCCACAGACCAAGAGTAAATTCTGCAATGGAAAGATTATTGGAGCCCAGCATTTCGCTGAAGCTGCCAAAGCTGCTGGTGTCTTCAATCCTGCAATCGATTTCGCATCTCCCCTAGATGGTGATGGACATGGAAGGTTTGAATCCTAAATCCTCTACTATTATGAAGTGCATGTGTCGATTTATCTTTGGCTACACATATTAGCACTACTTTAATGCATATTATTATGGGGCCATTTGGTAGCTCTGTATTCTGGTTTCTCAGAGTACATTGTTGTTCTTGTGCTTGAGTAACAGTCACATAGCAGCCATTGCAGCTGGAAACAATGGCATTCCCGTGAGAATGCACGGTCATGAGTTTGGAAAAGCAAGTGGGATGGCTCCTCGTGCTAGGTAAGGATAATTCTAATTTCAAGAATGATCTCATTTGTCTGTTATGCCCTTTCGTCGGACGGAACTAAGTAAGCCCATTTTGCACACTTAGAATTGCGGTGTACAAAGCTCTATACCGGCTCTTTGGAGGGTTCATTGCTGATGTAGTGGCTGCAATTGATCAGGTTCGAATTTCTGCAACCACAAGTTCCATCGTTTTATCAACAATTTAGTGATTCATTTTGCTCTAACAGCAAAGTTTCCTTGATAACAGGCTGTCTATGATGGAGTGGATATACTTAGCCTTTCGTTAGGTCCGAACAGTCCACCAGCAACAACCAAGACAACGTATCTAAACCCCTTCGATGCTACCCTTTTGGCAGCTGTTAAAGCTGGTGTATTTGTTGCTCAAGCGGCAGGAAATGGAGGTCCATTTCCTAAAACGATGGTCTCTTATAGCCCTTGGATAACATCCGTAGCAGCTGCCATTGATGACAGGAGATACAAGAACCACCTTACTCTTGGAAATGGAAAAATCTTGCCTGGAATGGGTTTGTCACGTAAGTACCACAAACGAATCAGGTTCCTATGAAATTATTGCTGTTGATTTGCACATTTTCTCACCAACTTACACTGTGCTTGTCAACAGCCTCCACGCGTCTGAACCAGACATATCCCTTAGTTTTTGCCAACGATGTCTTGCTAGACTCTTCAGTTTTGAAGTACAATCCTTCTGATTGCCAGAGACCCGAGTTGCTGAACAAGAAGTTGGTTGAAGGGAAAATCCTCCTTTGTGGCTATTCCTTCAGCTTCGTTTCTGGCACCGCATCAATAAAAAAGGTCTCCGAGACTGCCAAGAAACTCGGAGCAGCTGGATTTGTTCTTGCTGTGGAAAACAGTACTCCAGGAGCGAAGTATGATCCTGTTCCAGTTTGTACACCTGGGATTGTCATCACTGATGCAACCAAATCGGCGGTAAAATCTTCATAAAACAAATAATTTCCTAGTATATTCAGTTTGTTACTTTTCTTGTCTCTTACTGTCACTGTTACTCCAGGATCTAATTGACTACTACAACATATCTACACCCAGAGATTGGACTGGCAGAGTGAAGAGCTTCAATGCTATTGGAAGCATTGGAGATGGGTTGATGGCTATACTTCACAAATCAGCTCCTCAGGTTGCATTGTTCTCTGCTCGAGGACCAAACATCAAAGATTTCAGCTTTGGAGATGCTGATCTTCTGAAGCCAGACATTTTAGCTCCCGGGTCTCTCATTTGGGCTGCATGGTCACCTAATGGAACAGATGAAGCAAATTTTATGGGTAGGTTGATTGTGACTTCATTTTACTATGAAAGGTGGTATTTTTGTACGAGGGTTGCTCCTGATTCTGGAAAGTTTCTGACGATGTTCTGGTTTTGTTTACCTGATCATGGTATCACTGTGGTTGGTAAATGTTAGGATAAAAGGGGTTTTGTCAAAGTGGTTGAACTTTGGGTAGCTTTCACTACTTCTCACACTATTATATGATTTTTTTCCCCATACCAAACCCTGCATTACACTCATTCTGCTAGTCTCACCTTCAGAATACACAAATTCTTGGAATTCATGCATTCTACAACTTCTTATATCAACGAAGCCTGTGAAGTTGGAATATCTTTCTGCATACCTACTCCTTGTTTGTTGTTGTGAGCAGGAGAAGGATTTGCAATGATGTCTGGAACTAGCATGGCTGCACCCCACATAGCTGGAATAGCTGCTCTCATAAAGCAGAAACACCGCAAGTGGAGCCCTGCCGCGATTAAGTCAGCCCTAATGACGACATCCACAGAACTGGACAGAGCAGGAAGGCCTCTTCAAGCACAGCAGTACTCGGAAACAGAAGCCATGAAGCTTGTTCGTGCCACCCCTTTCGACTATGGAAGTGGTCATGTCAATCCGAGGGCTGCTCTCGATCCTGGACTCGTCTTTGATGCAGGTTCCTCTGATCTAACTTTACACCTCTTCTTCATATAAATAAACCTTCCATGGCTATTGAACTCAAAACTCACGAGCTACTTACACTTCCGGGGATTCTTTTTTTCTGTTTTCCGCAGGGTACACGGATTACTTGGGGTTCTTGTGCACCACTCCTGGCATCAACGTCCACGAGATACGAAACTTCACGAACATGCGCTGCAACTACACCATGGGCCACCCATCCAACCTCAACTCGCCATCTATCACAGTGTCCCGCCTGGTGAAGACCTTCACCGTGACTCGCACAGTGACGAATGTAGCTGATGAGGAAGAGACCTACGTGATCACTGCTAGAATGGAGCCAGCGATCGCCATTGAGGTCAAGCCCTCAGCCATGACTCTGAGGCGTGGTGCTTCGAGGAAGTTTACTGTGAGCTTAACCGTTCGATCGGTGACTGGAGGGTACAGTTTTGGGAAGGTGACGATGAAGGGCAGCCGTGGCCATAGAGTGAGAATCCCAGTTGTAGCAATGGGATACTGGCGATAGAATAAAGGGAAATGCGAGTTTGGTTGGTTGGTTGGATGGCTGATGAGTTACGAATCAGAATTCAGTGTTCTTAATTATGGTCTGGTTTGGTTGGTTGGAGGTTGAGATGATATAATTCTTTTGTATGTTGTACCATTTGGTAATAATAAAGAATAAGAGGGAGTTAGTTAGGAAGATGTTTATATATCAAGTACCATATTATCATTTATTATCTATTATTGCTAGTAGTTCTGTTGAGGGAGCTAGATGTAAACAGAACATAAAGGTGGTACCTTTAAGTTTTGACAATTTGGTGCCTAATTTCTATATTTTACACTTTTGTGGCATGAAAGTAGAATTGAAGTAATTAGATTAACAGTGGACTTTTTTACACTTGAGTATCGAAAATTTTAACTTATTAAACACTAGGGGCTTGTCATTTGTTATTTTCTTACATGCATGATACATATCTTAACAAGAAAACAATTTACCTATAGGTAAATAAAACTAAAGATAAGGAAAAAAATCAAGTGAACCACCACGGATTGGTTGCACAAGTTTGGACTTAGGATTTAGGAGGTTATCCGGTTTGGGTCTTGCTAGTTGTCACTTATGTGCTAATCTCGTAATGATCATCGACAAAATTAGTGCTCCGGTCTTAACAATTCTTGTGATAAACTTGCCGGATAATCATAAGAATTTTATTGAGTGTGACGAATTTTCCCTATAAATAAAAAATATATATTTGTGTCCATTAATGATCACTTTAATTATATTATTGGTATCTCCTTCAATATAATAATGAGGTGCCGGTTATAACTAGCTACCAATTGTTGACTGCTACCAACTCTAGGTCAGGAATTCATTCTCCTAGTGACCAAAACAAAATCATCCAGCTTTTTTTTTTTTTTTTTGCCAATATTTAAAGTGTTAGGATGTAGGAGTCAACTATGATGACTAATGATTTAGATATGGGCAATTTTTTATGGACAACATCTCATTTTCAGTGTATGTATCATCATGACAGTTGATTTAGTTACGATGGCAAATTATTTAACAAGTCAATGTATTTTATTTGATTGGTATCTCTTACAAGTGGTAGTATATACTTAAGATCAATAAAATTGGTCTTGAAGATCGTCACCAAACAAAATCAATAACTTTACTAGCAGGATATACTCATAAATGGTCGGTATATGACATTACCTAGTGCTACATACTTCAAGATTGAATTAATCAAGCCATGCTTAATATTCGGTGTAAGAAAATAAAAAAATAAAAATCGATGCCCAAACTCGTAACTTGGACATATACTTCCATTAACAAAAATGTTATCTCCCAAGTACTATTCTATGTTTGCATAACTTCGTAATTGGATAAAAGTCCAATTCGCGCTGAAAAAGTTGTAGCTCTTCGATACTCAAGTTAGTACGTGAAGCCATTCAAACCTCGTGAAAATGAGAGGACGAGAGAGGGGAACATCTCCATCTCCTCATAGTACATGTTGAGACATTTGTACAATGAATGTTGAAAGGACACACACTTTCTATGGACTGTGGTTGAACATGGTTTGGCCTAGGGATGACAATTTCGACCTGACCCGATTTACCCGATCTGTTTGACATGTTTTGGGCGGGGCGGACATGGGTACCTCTCATCGATCCGACCTGGTCTGACCCGCCCCATTCTCGACCCGTTGCTGCCTAAATTACATGTAATGTTAGTCGAATTACTTAAGATTTTCCTCTTATTCATTATATTTTAGCTATAATAAAGTTGTAAATAAGTGAAAACCTCAATTTCTTCAATAATTTAACTACATTTTATAATATTATGATTTCTTTCTTGGTCTTTCAATAAAAAAAATGAATATTTTTAACGTTTTTCACATAAATTACATACTCATTGGGTCGACTTGCCCCAACCCGCGCCCCATAATAAATTACCCGACTTGAATCCGACCTGCCATTGGGCGGATATGGGTATCGAGATACCCGCCCCGCACCTGCCATTACCAATTAAGTATGATTAGTGTAAGTTGTATTTCATTCGTTACACGACAAGTGAGCGGTGGTCAATAAATAAACTAACAATTTGCAATCATGTGCATGCATGACCTACACATGGCAACCAAAGGATGCCACTTGGATACCTCTAGTAACATTATTCCTATTGTTTTTTTTTTAACCATAAAAAGAAATTATCGGGATTTCAAATACCAATTAACATTTGAAATCTACTAATAATCCTCTAACTCGAGATACTTTAGCATCCTTATATATCAATTTTTGGAACTTATTTTTTATACGGTATTTGTCAAATACTAAAGTCCTAATTAATCATCTAGTTGTCAAAGCGCGGGCTAAATCACTACTCACTAGCCATCAATAAGCTCCTTTTCCACGGTGGGGAAGTGCCATAATTAACAACCATGGTGGACTGAAAGTAATAAATGACCCAACTGAAGCTTCCCATTTAAGTCTTCCCTGCAGCTGCATAGGCTCAGAAGACGAGGCCAAATCTCAGTCATAGATAGTCGTCATCGTCTTTGATTCCCTGAGAGGGAAGAAAGAGAATCAATCAAGCAAAAAAAATGGAGAAAAACCCAAGTCTCCAAGCTCCATTAATCCTCTCCTCCTCCTCCCCTGAATCGACCTCGAGGCAGAGCAGGTTCAGCAGGGATGAGATTCTGAGAGAAGTGAAGAAGCAGCTATGGCTGGCAGGCCCTTTGGTCACCGTCAACTTCTTGACGTATCTCTTGCAGGTGATTTCGGTCATGTTCGTCGGCCACCTCGGCGAGTTGCCCCTCGCCGGCGCTTCCATGGCCACTTCCTTCGCCTCCGTCACCGCCTTATCTCTCTTGGTAATTAAGTCAAGACCCTCGCCGGCGCTTCCGATTCGGACCACCACCAATGTGATTCTCCTTCTTTGTTTCTTTGTTCGGACTTTTGCAGAAAGGAATGGCGAGCGCATTGGAGACGCTCTGCGGACAATCGTACGGAGCAAAGCAGTACCATCTGCTCGGGATTCATTTGCAGCGAGCAATGATCGTTCTCCTCCTGGCTGCAATTCCCCTGTCTTTCATCTCCGGTTACGCCGAACCGATCCTCCTCTGCCTCGGCCAGGATCCGGAGATCTCGGCCGAGGCAGGGAAGTACGCGCGGTTCGTGATCCCGAGCATATTCGGGTTCGCGATCCTCGAGTCGCACGTCAGGTTCCTGCAGTCGCAGAACAATGTGATCCCGCTGATGGTGACGACCGGAACCACCACTCTGCTTCATGTTTTGGTGTGTTGGGCTCTGGTTTTCAAGTCCGGGCTCGGAAACAGGGGAGCCGCTCTGGCGAATGGCATTTCTTACTGGATCAATGCTTTGTCGTTGTTCGTCTATGTTAGGGTTTCTCCTTCTTGCAAGCAGACTTGGACTGGTTGGTCCAGAGAGGCCTTCCATGGGATTCCAGGGTTCATTAGACTAGCCATTCCTTCTGCTATTATGCTCAGGTTGATCTTGAAATTGAAACCCTGTTTCTCTTTGTACTTTTTATATGATCTATACCGCGACACGAATGCGTCTTATGTGCATATGTATGTATGTATGTGTGTAGCTTGGAGATTTGGTCGTTTGAGATGATGGTTCTGTTGGGCGGCTTGCTTCCGAATCCGAAGCTCGAAACTTCTGTACTATCCATAAGGTTAGATTTTAACAAAATTCTACATAAAGGTTGCAACTTTTTCCAAAAGTTGAGCTAAAAGGGTTTGGATTGGATTGGATTTTGCAGCCTGAATACATGTGCAATGATCTTCATGATACCAATGGGGTTCAGTGCTGCTGTGAGGTGAGATTTTGTTGTCAACGATATATGATTAATTGCCCGCTGATCATCCAAGCTGTGTGCATTACTGATTGTTTGGGCTGTTTCTGTTTTCTACAGCACGAGAGTTTCGAATGAGCTAGGAGCTGGGAGGCCTAGAACAGCGATTCTAGCGGTATATGTTGCGTTGGCCATGGTGATGACGGAAGGGATTCTAGTCGGGATCGTCCTGGTGTCTGGCAGGAGCGTCTGGGGTCACTTGTACAGCACGGAAGAGAGAGTAGTGAAGTACGTTGCGGAAATGTTGTTGCTGATCGCAGCTTTCCATTTGTTCGATGCCATCCAAGTCGTGCTCTCAGGTAATCGCAAGAAGTCCCTCTTTAGATCGTGCGATCGCTCGATAGCATCGATCGATTTTCACCTATCGAAAGTAAAGGTTTGCTTACTCGATCTTGTTTTTTCTTTTTTCTTGATGCTCAAGGCATTTGCAGGGGATGTGGAAGGCAGAAGCTAGGGGCTATTGTAAATTTAGGTGCATACTATATGATTGGAATTCCTTGCTCGGTTGTTCTAGCTTTCGTCTACCATATGGGAGGAAAGGTACATTATACTACATCACGATACCGGTCGAAAAGTAATCGATACCGTAGTTTTCCTAGCTAGAAAATTAGGAAAGCTTTAGCCATTGATAATGTGGGTTTGTTGACAGGGTCTGTGGACAGGAATCATGATAGCATTGATCTTCCAGGCATTGTTTCTCTCAATAATGACCATCACAACTAGCTGGGAGAAAGAGGTTAATATAGTTAAACTCCATTATCGCCTTTCATTTCATCACCTTCGTATATGCTTCTTATGAAACTGTCCTGCATGGACGGATGTTGATCAGGCAAAGAAAGCCAAAGACAGAGTTTATGGTGCCATCATTCAAGAGCCAAGTCATGAGTTGCCGTAGAAGATCCGGCTGGTCGAAGAAGAAGACAGTAGATCTGAGGAAGGAAAATTTTCCTTGGCTCGCCGGCTGTGTTTCTTTGTCCGATTCCGATAATTAGTGGGTTAAGACCAGCGCCGGCGAGTGGATCTTCGTCGGCCGGAAAAACAGAGCACTCTGTTTATTAAGAGAGGAAATGGTTAAATGGTTTCTCTCTTTCAGTATCCCCACTTATTTGTATTTTTGTGGGCCTGTTATAGTAAAAGCCCAAAACAAAATAAGCCCAAAAGGGTTGCTTATAAGTTATAAATAGTAATTTTGTCAGATGCCCCCGAAGGCACAAATAGTAATTGCCTAATGCTAATTATGGTTAAGAGACTACCGTACAAGGTTGTCAAACCGGTTTATACCGTTGTGCCGGTTTGGCAAGTGGAATGGTACGATCAGTGGTATAACCAGTTTGTGCCGGTTCATGCTGGTCTAAAAAATGTGAAAACAATTAATATCAAATGTATTTAATCATATATAAAATATAATTTGTGGACAATTTAGTTACAATCCAACAAATATCATCAATTTTTAACTATTACATTCATAAAATGAATAATAAATTATTATTTTTATTCATTAAATTCATTAAAATGATATCATTTTACTTAGAATGCGTAAGTCGATCATACCGGTCATACCGGTGGTGTCATGCCGGTTTCATGACCGACACAGGTTGAACCAGGTTGAACCGGGTGGCATGCCACCGGCATGACAACCATGCTACCGTATCTTCAGAAAGACTATTTACGGCGTAGAAAATTTTCGATTAAAATGGACCTGATTTCAAATTTTTTTATGTTATAGCTTTTATCGAGATGTAGGGATCGGTTAGCATGCTAACCCTTCTAAGGGGTTGGAAAAATGACACCCCTATTAATTATAGTTATTTTTTGTATTAAATTCGTGTTGCATTTAATAATATTTGGAAATTAAAAACTTATCTTAATTACATTCCTTTTTTTTAACTATCATTGTACTGATACAACTACCATTGCACCTGTATACTGAACTCGTATTAATTACGTTCCTTTTTTGGAACTACCATTGCATTGATACATCTACCATTGCACCTGTACACAACTACCAGTGCACTGATACAACTACCAGTGCACTGAAAAAAAGAAAGTAATTAATATGTGTTTTTAATTCATACAGATTATTAAATGCAACACAAATTAATTACCTTAAAAACCTATAATTAATAGGGGGTGTCATTTTTCCAACCCTTTTATGAGTAGGCATGCTATCTCATCCCGAGATGTAGGAGAATTTTTTCGTATATGGACTCAAAACGAGTCGTTATACCAAATGTCTTGTGTGGCAAGTGAAAAAGGACTATTTTGGAATCATAAATTCGCATTTGGACATTTTCATATGACCAATAATTTTTTACTATAACATTGACATGCATGTTTCACGTTCTAAAAAGTTCATAAATGATATCTATCATCCAAATTATCGGAGTCGCAAGTGAATAAAATATTTCAATGATTGGGAAATAAACAATTAGAGAGGTAGGATTACTTTATAGTAATTTCATTACTGAAAATTAAAATAGATTGTATTGATTAGAACTTAGAAGGTGTATTTATATGGGCAAGTCGACAATGCATAATAATTCTTTAAAAATGGTTAACGATTTTGTAAATATATACAATAAAAAATAGTTTGTAACTTAAATCAAATACATCTATTAAGATTTAGGCAAAATACACTTGTATAGCCAAAACTTTCGCACTTGTGACAATAATAGCCAAATTTTGAGAAATACAACTTATAGGCTATAGCCAAAATTTTGAAACTTTTGTGCCAAATATAGCCATTTCCGTTACAAACTTTAACGGTGTTAGAGACTCCGTCAGTTAGTTTAACGTTAGGCTGACTAGGACGCCAAATCATCGCACACGTCAGCGACAAATCAGCCACATTCGTCACGTAGGTGACACGTCATATTTTTAATTTAAAAACAAATGAAAAAATTCATATATTAAATTTCAAAAAAAAAAAAATCGTCTGCAGCTGCTCCATCTGCGATTGCCACTTCCCGTCGTCGGCTTCTTCTTTTCCAAACCCAGATCCATCTTCCGACGAAGATTTGGGGCGATCTCTGCAAATCGAGACACTTTCTTCATCTCCCACCTCCAACAAACCCCCCTCAATTCCACTGTCAAAACAGAGACACTTTCTCATTCTCCGTCTTCCAGCGGCGGCAGCAGTACTTTGAGCAAGAGGAAGCCACCCATGTCCAAAATCACCATCCCAACCACCACCATCTCCAAACCACCATCTCAGCTTGAATTGGGTGTCGCCAATTCTTCTTCCTTTGTGGACGACGACGAGAAGCACTATAGAGGGATTCGCCGGAGGCCATGGGGGAAATACGCGGCGGAGATTCGAGATCCCACCAAAAAGGGGGTCAGGGTCTGGCTGGGGACGTTCGATTCCGCCGCCAAGGCGTACGACAGCGCCGCCTTCCGCCTCCGCGGCAGCAGGGCGATCCTCAATTTCCCGCTCGACGCTGGCAGGAATTCGGACTCTCCGGCAGTTTCAATTCCCCCCGATTCGGGGGAATTGAGCGGCTGTTCCGGCGGGATTAGGAAGAGGAAGATTGGGGAAATCGAGGGCGGTGGTGAGGGGAGTTTGAAGGCTGTGAAGGCGGAGAACCAGTCGTCGCCGGCGGTGGCGCATGGTTTGGGGGAACCGGTGCCGTTGACGCCGTCGAGCTGGAAGGAGATCTGGGAACGGGGAAGTCAAGGGGATATTCAGCGTCCTGCCGTTGTCGCCGTTATCGAAGTGATTCTGACGGCGATAATGGAGATGGTGGACAGATGGGGAAGACGAAGTAGATGAGAGGGAGAGAGATTTTTGTTTTGACTTTGGGAAGCTTCAAAAGAAGCGAGAAAATCCCATGGTGGAAGCTTCATCTTTTTCCTTGCTTGCTTTGGTCCGCCATTAATGGTGGATCTGCTCGAGTTCTTGCAGAGGCACATTGGAAGGAGAGAATTTGTTTTGGCTATTTTTATTTAAAGAAATTACAATTTTATTTTATTTTTTGTTTAATTCCACCTGTGTCGCCACATCAGCCTTTCTGTTAGTCCAATCAGCATGTTAGTTGACATCGTTAAAGAATTAGACGGAAGTGGCTATAAGTGGTATTTTGCCAAAAGTGGCTATAAGTGTCACAAACGTGAAAGTTTTGGCTACACAAGTGTATTTTGCCTAAGATTTATAAGTTACAAAACGTGAAGCGGTCACCTTTAAGTTTTCAAATTTGTTGGTGTCTCATTTAAGATATTTTACATTTTTGTGTTATGAAAGTAGCATTAAATTAGATTAGCAATAGAATTTTTACTTGAGTATCGAATTTTGAACTTATTTGACACTTGGGAATTGTCTTTTATTTTATTTTTATATGCATAATTCATATCTTAACAATGAAAGTATTTGCTTGTAATTAGGTAAAAGAACTAATGATAAGAGAAAATCAACTACATCGCCAACACAAGATTGAGAAGTGCACAATTTTAGAATTCAGGAGGTCAATAATTTTGAGTCATGACAGTCTGTCAGTCATGCGTTAATTTTATAGTGACCATCAACATAGCTGTTGTGTGCATCTAAATTATTATTCTTATAATAAACCTTTCGACGTTCATAAGTATTTTGTTGATTGTGACGAATTCTCCCTCGTGATTTCTCACGGTGTGTGCAAATTCATTATTTTCATTAACTATTACTTCTCTAATTTTATTATTGGTCCATCACTATAATAATAAGTGGCGGTTGTTAACTAGCTGTTGTGTGCATCTAAATTATTATTCTTATAATAAACCTTTCGACGTTCATAAGTATTTTGTTGATTGTGACGGATTCTCCCTCGTGATTTCTCACGGTGTGTGCAAATTCATTATTTACATTAACTATTACTTCTCTAATTTTATTATTGGTCCATCACTATAATAATAAGTGGCGGTTGTTAACTAGCTACAAATTGTTAACTCCTATCTACTCATGGTCCAAGAATGAAAGTGTGTACGACTACGATGTCGGAGATGGCCGATGATTTAAGTATTGGCAAATTTTCTCCTCAAAACTACCTACTCATGGTCCAAAAATGGGTACGTTGATTTAATTATCATGGTCCAAGAAAGTAATTTGATGGGTACATATATATCTCTTGCAACTTGCAAGTGGTACTTTATACCTAAGATGAATGAAAATTGGTATTGGAGATTATCTCCAAACAAAATGAATAAAATTACATGTGGATTATACCATATAGGAATACATGATATTGCATATTTTTACGTACTCCAACACTCAAATTAGTACGAGAAGTCATCCTGACTTACTGAAAATGATAGGGGTGAGAGGAAGGCATCTCCCATTTTATGAGAGTACAAGCGAGAAACATGTATATGATGGTTAGAAGGACATATATATATGGTTGTAGTCTTTTGATGTACTCGTGAGTTTCTCTCATACGATTTGTTTTCTCTTGATATGCATTTCTGTATTTAAACATGTCCGGTTGAGGGAAATAGGATTAAGAACAGCTTAGTCTCACTAATTCGAATTGTTAGAAGATGTACAATAATGCATATTAAATTATTTAATGTCACGTCTTCTTGAATGAAAGCCAACTTATATTGACCTGAAATTTGCACATACCTGAATAAATTGTGCGTAACATATGGAGTCATCAAAATTCGAATACGAAATTGCTTGATCATCAAAAATTCTGATATTATATAAAGAACCATATACATTCTAATAACTCAGAATTCTTAAAAAGAAACTGTTGGGCATATGACTCGGATCGTCCCCGCGCCAAAGGAGCATATCGGACCGCGCGACACAACCGGCGACGCGAAGACCTTGCGCGCGGTAAGGGTAAAGTTACACGCGCGAGTGTGAAGATCGTCCCCGCGCCAAGAGAACATATCAGACCGCGCGACACACCCGGCAGCGGGAAGACCTTGCGCGCGTCAAGGGTGAAGCTACGCGCGGGAGTGTGAAGACCAGGCGTCATAACCGCAGAGGGCGTCATTGCGTTTCCCGAGGGAAGGTCACGTCAAGACTTTAGGTGCAATCATAGACAACCCTCTGACAAGTCCTAGGTTAAGGGATGGCCTAAATCCCTGACACATCAGTAGTCACGTCGTTGTACCGTCTCGCAGTCCACCCTCTCACCCACCAACATGTAGCCTATAAATATGGCATTTACTCCGGTGGGTGAGGGGATCGCATTTTTTCACCACTCTCTCTCTACAATAACAGCTTATCCCTCTAATATCCCTTCTCTTGCTCTCCCTCAACTCCCCAGTCTTTGACTTTCCGATCATACCCAATACTTGCACTTCTTCTTGACCCCAATTCTCACTCGAATCTAACTCCTACACTCAGTTAGGTTCAAACAATTGGCGCCCACCGTGGGGCCA